CTTGGACTGGCTGCAGAAGACGGCGTAGTCACCGCCAACCTCGACCAGGAGTGACAAAGCAACAGGCCGCCCTCTCTCGGAAAAGAAGGCCCCAAGCAGCCGGCCGACCAGGACCAGCTCCCGAGGTGCGGGCCTGGGCTCGGCAGGGTTACCTGGGGCCACAGATACACCGAACGCAATTCTCTTCAAATCAGCCTGCTCACTGCGTGGTTAAGATGCACTTTCGCATCTATTATCTGACTTCATCTCAATAACCCGCAGAGAGCGGTCTAATGACTACACCCACTTTACAGACAGGAAATGGAGCTCCAGGAGGCAAAGACCTCCCCGAGGCTACTCCACCAGCTGCAGGGAGCTGGGACACGACGCCAGGGGTCCTGACTCAAGGGCCTGTGCTGTCCCGGTACGTCACGTTACACTGTACAGTGCAGGGGCCGGCTGGAGATGAGGCGGGGCTGAGACAGAGGGCAGCCGCCCGGCGGTCCCAAGCTGTCTGACCTTGGGAAGCGGCCCTTCTCTGACCCGTCCAGCAGGGATGATATACCTGCCCAGCCTGACCCAAGTCACGGGACTGTCCTGATGACCTAACAGAAAGGCGTGCATCAAGGAAGGGATGGAGCAGACCCGCTGAACAGGATGGCGCTGCAGACGCCCAAGGCACTGAGTGTAACATTCGTCGCTGAGCCTCTCTACAGGTGCAAGTGTCACCTCCTCAGAGCGCTCCCCGCACGCCCCACCTGAGCACATCGCCCCATCTGCTGCAGGGTGAGCCTGGTGGTCTAACAGCTCATGCAGACACCTGGCTGGGCCTCCCGGGACAGGTGAGCTGCCTCCCCAACCACACATGAAAATGTCTGAGGCAGAGACCAAGAGAAAGCATTTGGTAGGTGTAAAGCCTTATAAAATGAGATGTCGCTATTACTAACAGCACACAACCCACCATCACCTCCAGATCCCCAACACCTGGCAGGAGCTCGTTAAACGTTTGTAGAGTTAACCGAGCTGTTCCCGAGAGATGGTCACCAAACTATGTCAAGCGTAAAAAGCAAGTTTAGGAACAGCACGCTCAGTGCATCCGCTAAGCATGTTTGTTTGTGTTATAGACGCTTGTGTGGGCACGGAAGGCACCCTCCGAACACACCTGAAAACCAGCACTGCTCTCATCCACAAGCTAGGACGGGCAGGAAGAAGCAGGCTGACGTTTCATGACCTTCAAATCTGTATTGTGAATTTTCTTCCCAACAAACACATGTTGCTTTTACAATAAAAACTTTTTTAAAAGTAGAATTCTTCTTATCTCCTAAATGTTACAGAAACAATAAGAAATATTGATCTCCGCCTTCCTCAGTTAAGATTTTATTTTAGCAGGAGAATGATAATTATTTTTCTTACTTCAAAAACAAATCCTCTCATTTTAGTAATACAATCCTGGATAAATTATTAACCGATTTTATACATATTACATAGACTTTATGTATATTTATTGGTGCATGCCAATATATTTAGTATTTATTATTGTATACTTCATATGTAATCAAAGTAAAATCAACAACAGAAATGCAACTGGTAAGTAGAAATATAAATGTGTGTATATGTACACACACGCATGCTTTTTTTTCCCTTAAACAAACTGAGCAGAGTTGTCAACTGAGTCACTTCCAGAAGGGCCCCTACCAATTTCTGCTCCAAGGAGCTCTGGTGAGGGCAGGAGGAGGAGGGCACCATGTTGTCCCCGTCCCCACAGCCTGGTACATACTGATCACCCAGGGCTAGAGGTCCAGCAGCCTCCCGGCCTCCTGTCCCACAACATGCATGGGCTCTGTTGTCCCTGCAAGAGCTTCCCCATGTTGGTGACAAACATCTAAGGAGTTCATATGGCCAGGCCAAGCAGGGCTGGGGTTCAGGCCTCTGTCACTCTCCTCCCTTCTAATCTGCCCTCAGTTTCATTCCCCGCACCTTCCTGACCAGTACCCTGAGAGGTCCTGGCCAGCCCAAGCCCACAGCGTCAAGTCCAGGCCCTTCATCCCTGCCTCGGACGCCTTCCCTGCTCGGCCCCAGCTCGCCTTCTCTGCTGTCTCATTCCTCTTCTCTCTCATGGTTTACTGCCAGCAAACTCACCAGCCCCTGTAGGATTCCTCAGGCCATCATCCCTTAGTGGGCTTGGCCCCCAGCTCCTCCTGTCTACAACCCCAGGTGTCCTTGAGGACCCCTCTCCCACCCTCCTCCAGGAGGCCAGAAATGAAACAAGTGCTCCCACAGCAGGATTTTCACAGAACTTTCCTGGAACTTCCTTGAAACAGTTATCTACGCCTCACTCTTTTGTGAGGTTTCCAAGGCAGGGAGCTGCTGGTCTTACTCATCCCCGTGTCCACTCATTTTGAACACAGGATTTTAAAAATCTACCATTTATTGCATGCCTACTACAGGCTGGGGACTCTACCTGGACCATTAAATACATCATTGTTGATCCTCACACCCATCTCTTTACAAAGTCATCCACTCGTTCAACAAACGTGCGCTCGGCCCCTGCGAAGCAGTGCTCTGAGAAGACAAGGGGAGGGGGTAAAGCAGGCACAGCCCCCGCCCTGCATGCAGCCTACAGTCTAGCACAGAGAGCAGGCACGAAAAGATCAAGGCAGGAAAACACTCAAGGTGCCAAGGAGGCTGCACCGCTGGGTGCAGGAGTGAGGCAGAGGGTGCCCCGAGTGGAGGCTGGGCAGGCATCCCTGCAGGGTCCGTGGGCGCGCACCCCCCCCCACCCCGCCCCGGCTTCATCCCAAGAGCAATGGAAAACCACTGGAAGGTCTCGAGCCAGGGGGCGCCATGATCACAGGCAGGTTTCCAGACACTCACTGTGGTGGCAGAAGAGGCAAGAATAGATACAAGACACTACTCACAACAGCCAAAAGCTGGAAACAACCCAGATGTCCATCTACTGAGGAATGGATGAACAAAACGCGGTTAATTCATACGATGGAATATTATTCAGACATAAGAAGGAATGCAGTACTGACACATCCTACAGTTTTGATGAGCCTTGAAACATTATGCTCAGCGAAAGCAGCTGGTCATAAAGGACCACAGACTGTATGATTCCATTCACGTCCAAGCCCAGAATAGGTAACTCTACAGGGACAGATAGTAGACTAGTGGTTGTTTAGGGTTGGGGGAGGGGAGCAAGTAACAGCCAAAGAGCTTCTTTTTGAAGAGATGAGAATGTTCTAAAATTGATAGTGGTGATGGTTGCAAATATCTGTGAATGCATGAAAAAACATTTAATTGTACACTTTAAACAGGTGAATTATATGATACGTGAATTATATCTCAATAAAGCTATTTTTGTTTGTTTTTTAAGCAGATGCAGTGAGGGGGCTCCTATAATCTTCCAGCTAAGAGATGATGGTGGGAGGGACCAGAGTGGTGGAAGGATGGGGAAGAGGAGCACGAGGAACAGGCTCAGAGAAAAACCGGGCCCGGGAGACTTTGCTGTGGGAGGGGCAGTCGGGGTGAAGGTCACACAGGCGGTGGTGAGGGAAGTCAGGCCCGGGCCCCCGCCGCCTCAGTCCCCTGCTCTCTCTCGCAGAGCACAAAACGTGGTGCACCGGGAGGCAGCCTGAGTTTTCTCTTTAACACATAATGATGCTGTTTTAAGAATGAAATCTCCAACTCCAGGTCAAGAAGATTAAAATTTACCCTCCTGGATAAGAGCAGATTTGGAAATAAAGCTCAGAAAATGGAACACCTTTTTACTAAAGGACCACAAACAACTGGGGAGCTTTCGGAATAAATCCACTCCGTTTCTAGAAGTAACTGGTGGAGACCTCCGAGGCGGAATCCCTCTGGTGTCCAACGTGGCCAGTGAATCACGGAGAAGACATGATTCAGCACCCGGGTGCACGCCACATACATAACACCTTTCAAGAAGACATATTTTTATTGCTGCACTTGAGGACAGCCCCTCGGAATCCAGAGTCCATCAAATCGATGGATCAAGCAGCGCACGAGGCCCCACGTTCACCTCCATGGTATCTCTCTCTCGGCCACACCAGCATGGACCACACAGAAGAGTCCTCTCACTTTATGGTGACGTGAACTCATGTGAACTCCAGGTCGAGAGATGCCCGCTACACGGGGCATCTAAACGATGTGCTAAGAACTCCAAAGAGGGAGGGGGAAAAAAAAAACCCAGTATTTATGACGGGGCTGTTATTTACACAGAACTGCTTGTTGCTTGACAATTTAGATAAAAATGTTACTGCCTCTCTGCATGTGCTGCAAATTCATGGCACAAGACCACTGGAGCAACTAATGGAGTCTTCACACATCGTATCTCGTTAAAAACGAGGACTGCGTCCTCCACTGGAATCACAGCCCAGCAGCCAGGCAAGGCCACACCTGGGCACGCAGCCTGGCCACTCTCGGCGGGGCCACAACTCAGCTCTGATCGGCTCCTCCACATCTCCTTTTTTTTTTTTTAAGAAGAAAACACAAACTCTGTTTTCAAACAGTAAGGTCCTATGGAAGTTGGTTTCCTATTTATACCCTAGTCCACCAACAGTAGGAGAAACACTGAGGAGTTAAACAGAATTTGTATCTCTCTACTTTTGACCAACAACGTATTTACTTATAGGAGTCCTTGATAAACATCTTTAAACGCTTGCCCATTTTTCTAGAAGTAACTGAAAAAATTCCAGTGCCAAGGGCATGAATGGGAAATTGATGGCTGGGCACCAAAAGCTATTACTCAGCTGCTCTTGTACATCTAACAGATGTGGATAATGGGGTCACCCGTTCATTACTATCCAGTTGATCATCCACATGTGCACTTTCAATTGAAACTTAACCTTCATACCCCATATTCCAAGTGGGAGCGCACAAAAGCACACATCTCTGGAGGTGGAGACGGCATGAGTTTCTCCCCAAGCAAATCCATAAATAAACACTACCTTTAATTTTATGTTGAGTTAAGAATAAACTTTGAAATACTGGCTTTTTCATACCTGCTCCCACATTTCAGCTCCTCGGGCAGGTTCTGGGGTGGCCAAGCAGAGCCCCACAGCTCCTCTTCAAGACCCTGGGTGCAGCCCAGAATCACCTCCAAGAGCCTCCTCATCGACCTTTCCCCCAGCCAAGCTGCCAATCACCACCAAACTCTCCCAAGGAGAGAGAGACGAGTAAATGTTAAGTCTACCCAACTCATTTCATAGGTGACCTCTGCAAGATTTCACCGTGGAGCTCGGGAGAGACAAGGCAGCTTTATTAGCATGCTGCACCAAGCCTCAGCCCCCTCCACTCCCTCTTTTATGAGCCCTTGTTACATAAAATGCCACAAAGGGAAAAGGAAAAACAACACACTTACAGTTACAAACACAAGTTCCGATGGCCAGGCCAAACCCTGGCTGCTTACCAGATGTTATTTTTAGTCATTTAAAAGAAACATTTTTTAAAAGGCAAGAGAACAAAAGTTTTCGCTGTTCTCTTTCTTTCTTTTTAAACACACACTCACACACACACACAAAAAGATGGAGGTACATTCCATTCGCAAGCATCCTTCCCCGAGTTCAAATTTAAAGGCAAAGGCAGCGTGGATCGGACAGCTCCTTCCCGGAGCTGCACCGCAGCCTTCAAACAGGATTTTTCAGTGTTTCTCTCAGTCTCATCTAAATTCCGGCATGACAGATAATAAATAGCTACTCATTTACTATCATCATAAAAATTTAAACAGCCTTGAAATAGTTGCTACAATACACAAGAAATGATCAAACCTAAGCTCCGAAAAACCACTACAAACAGTGCAACTATTGCTATGTGGAAGCACACATAAAGAGACATTGTTGTAATAAAAGCTGCTGGATTATTGGATTTTTCTCTCTCTCTCTCTTTTAAATCTTCTACTCCGAGCATGAGAGTCAACAACTTGCTGTTTTACCCGGTGAAAAAAAGGGCTTAGTAACCCTCAGCTATCACACCGTACCAGATTTAGTGATGGATTTTTTTTTTAAAGAAAGTATCTGATTTGATTCTACACAGCGATTAAACATCTTTGTGCTCAGCAGAGAAGGGTATTCCAACCCCTCCCCCTCCAAAAATGGCATCAAAGCAATCAAAATGGTAATGCCGGGCCTGGGTCCCCTCCCCCCGCGAACTCCCCGACTTCGCCGGGGCCGCGCGCCGGGCCCCCCTCCGGCGGGAATGGAAGCTTCCACTCCTGGACGGGGGCGCGGGCCGGGCGGGCGGGAGCGCGCGGCCGGGGAGTGGGGGCCGTGGCACCGACAGAAAGGGGTGAATGCGTGCGTCCCAACCCTCGGGTCCAGCCGGGCGCCCCCGACCAGGCGCGGACCCGCGGGAACAGCCATCTTTCTTTCCGCAAACCCCGGCCCCCTCCTCTTCCGCACGCCCCCTCCCACCACTTTTCAACTTTAAAGACTCGAAATGAACACCCGGCCTCTGAGTTCTCCAGGGTCGCCGCCACCCCCACCAATCTCGTCCACGTCTCTCCTCCCACCGAAAATTCTTTCGGGGATGGGGCATCGGATCCGGCCGCCCTGGCCCGGAGTTGGGGAGGAAGGAGGGGATCAGCTTCGGCGGCCGAGCCGGGGGGCGGGGGCGGGGGCGGGGGCGGGCACTGTCCAAGTTTGGTGCTGACGGCGGCCGGCATTCCGAAGGAAGCGCGATCGATGGCCGGCGGGCGCGGCGGGGCGGGGCGGGCCCGCGGGGCGGGCGGAGGGAGGGCCGGGGGCAGCGGGAGGGGCGCCGGCGCCCCCGCCCCCGCCCGCCTCGGAGCCCCGAGAGCGCCATTGGCTGCGCCGCTCAAAGTTCTCGGCTCGGGGCGGCGCGGGAAGGGGCGGGAGTGCCTGTGCGGGGAAGAGGGGCGGGGGAGCAGCGAAGGGGGAGGGCGCGCGGCGAGGGGGGAGGGGCGGGGCGGGGGCGGGGGCGCGCGGCCGGCCGCGCTCCGGCGGCGGCATCTGTTCGTGGTGCTGAAACCCCGAGCGCTGAGCTCAGCGCAACTAAGTCACAATGGGCAACTTTTCCTCCTCGAGGGGCCGGGAGGGGGGTCGGCGGCCGTGCCCCCCACCGCGAGGAGCTTCTGGTGTGTCCAAATCTACACCTGATGCCCGGAGACCAAAGTTGGAGCAGAACTGGGGGGGGGGGTTCTGGGGGCGCTTTTCTTTTGTTCCCGGGATCTGGCGTCAGGTTCCAAGAATAAAAAGTGATGCTAGAGAAGTGGAGGGGAGGGGGGAGCCCAGAGGAACGATTCTTTAAATACGATGTGCACTGGAACCCAGAAATCGCTTCCAAGTAGTTTGGTGTCTAGGCCCGAATTACCGCCCCCTCTACCCCCACCCTCACACTGGCCTGAAGGTGGGGGGGGGGGTACGTGGAGCAGGAAGAAATTTTCGCATTCCAAAAACATGTCCACCAACTCAAAATGGACGCCGGGCTGCTCGCCGCCTTTTAAGTGCAGCTTCACTCCTTCGGCCACTGCCGGAGCCGCGACCTCCCCGCTCGGCCTCCAAGAACCGGCTCTTTCTTTCCAGAAAAGGAGGGGGCGGGTAACTTTGAGGGTTGGAGACAGACTCCGTTGGGAGTCTGAGCGTGCAGCGCCGAGGCCGGCACTTTTTAGGGTGCTGCCAAAGTGCCCGGCGACACCCGCCCCCCGCGCGGGGTGGGGGGCAGCTCCAGCTCGCTTACTTGTTTGTCGCTGAGCGCGGCGATCCGCGGCTGCCTCTCGTGGAGCTGCTTCTTGAGGTCGCCGTTCTGCAGAAACACGGAGGAGCAGGCTCAGGCCAGCGGCCCCGGGGGGCCAAGTGCGCCCGGGGCCCCGCGCGGCCGCAGCCCCCCGCCGGCAGCCCGCAGGCCGGGCCGCCCGCAGCGCGCTCCAAGTTCCCCGGGCCGCGTCCCGCACGCGCGGCGGCCGGGCAGCGCCGCGCGGGGCCGCTTACCTGTGGCTGCCGCCTCATCGGGGCAGCTCGCGGGGCGGGGCGGGGGCCGCGGCCACCCGGCGGCGCGCCCCGAGCCGTGCAAGTTTGCAGGCCGGGGTGCGTGTGCGAGTGAGCGTGAGTGTGAGTGTGTGCCGGGGGAGGGGGGAGGAACAAAGAGCCAAGTAAACACGGCGAGTCCGTGTCGAGCAAAGCTCATAAATATTCAAGTCGCGTCCTAATCTCCCCAACACACACACGCGCACGCCGCAATACCGCTCGGGCCCCGGCCGCCGCGCCGCTGCTCGCCCGGGCAACCATCGCCGAAACTACTTTTGCAAACTGTGCAGGATTGCACGGGGGGTGGGGGCCGGAGGAGGTCGGCGCACACACTCACACACACACACACACCCCGGGGCAGGCTCACGAAGGGGTACCCGGCACCCTCAGTCCTGCAGACCCTGCGCTGAGAGAGAGAAGACGCCGGGCTCGGGGCCCACGGGCGCCCGACCCCCCCTCAAACTATGCAAGATTGCACCAGAGGGGGGCGGAGGGGGAGCCCAGACGGGGGTCCGTGCGAGTGCACACTCGCCCCGCCCCGAGGTAGGCTCAAGGAGGGTCTCCCTCCGGACCCCTCCAGCCATGCAGACCCTGCGACGAGGAAGAGGACGCCGGGCTCGGGTCCCTGGAGCCCCCCACCCCAGCCAGGGGCCCCCGGCCGCCTACCTGGTGGCGCGCGAGTTCCACGGCGAGCGCCTCGGGCCGGCTCTGCAGCTCCATCCCGGCAACTTGGGCAGCACTTTTCGCTCACTTTGGCCCCGGCTCCCGGGAAGTTGCGCCGCTCCGCTGGAGCAGGAGCGGGCGGGGTCGGACCGGGTCTCCGGGGAGGGGGAACGCGAGCCCCCTCCCCCACGGCCGAAAGGGAGGGGGGGGTCTGGCGAGGGGGAAGAAAGGCAGCCGGCCGCCGCGGCCGCCCCAACTCCTCAGGCTGCCTGGCAAGTTGCGCCGGGTCCCCGGGCTGCCGGCGCGGCCCGGCGCATGGCCCCCCGGCGCCCGGAGCCCCGCGCAGCCCCGCGCGCGCCCGCCCCGCCGCCGCCCGCGCGAGTCGCCCGCCGGCAGGGACTATATTTCCTCCGGCGCGCGCGCCTGGATCTCGCTGGGCCTCGGCAAAGTTGTGCCTCGGCACGATGCTAATTCGGCAGTGCCCGGATGGAGCGGGCCGGGGCGGCGGGGGGGGGGGG